GGTCGAGCTGTTGTTCACCATCTTAGCTGTAGAGGGCGCAGCGTCACTGGCCCTAGTGTGGGATCCAAACCGGTCCTGCTGCTCAGAGCTGGCATCCCAAGCCAACCCTTAACCACTGCACCACTCGGCCGGCCCGAGAAGAAACAATTTAAACACCCAATTATGTCCATGGGGACTGAAAGCCTTGAGGAATGCAATTATTTTGTTGTTTGCACACATTAAAGCTTACTCTTTATACTGTGCACTTCTCCGGGTTTTGACAAATGCAAAGAATCATGCATTCACTACCCCAGGACCATTCAGAACAGTCTGATCACCCTAAATATTTGCCTGAGCATCCCCTTTGTAGTCAACCACACCCCCTCTACCAGCCTCTGGCAACCACTGATGATTAATTGAATTCTTAAACGTAAATTAAATTCTAAAATGTAAAAATGTAGGGGCAACATATTGCAAGTAGATGGAACACCAAGTACAAAGGACTAGAGACTGTCCCTAAACACCTAGCTCTGTGCCTCAACCATTTGTGTGGAATGCAGCAGGTGGTCTATAAATTTTGGCTGGTTGGTTGGTTGGTTGGTTGAATTAAATAAACTGTGTGATCTTGAGCAAGTTATTTAACATCTCTGAGCCTCAGTTTCCTCATCTATAAAATGAGGGTAACCCAACTCAGGGTTTCGTCATTCATTCAACAAATATTTTTGAGTTCCTACTATATACCTAGCACTGTTCTAGGCACTAGGGTAATATAGCAGTGAACAAAACAGACAAGCATCCCTGCTCCTGTGTTGCTTATATTCAAGGAAGCAGACAAACAATTATCAAGAAATAATAAAGATCGGGAGAAGGAGATAAGCACTGTGGAAAAAAATGGAGCAGGGCAATGGAGATGGGACCGTGGTGGGGGCTGCATTTTCAAATAGGGTAGTTAGAGCCTTACTAAAAGAGGAAGCAAATGGTGCCTGCAGATACCTGGGTAGGACTGCTGCAGGCAGAGGTGGGCTCAGGGAAGCACCAGGAAGCCAGCGGGGCTGGAGGGAGTGTGTGTGTGGCGGGGGAGCGGAGGGACATGCGGTCAGACAGGTAGCAGGGTCCAGATAGCCTATATCTTGTAGTCCATGGCACTTTTATTCCTGGTGAACTGGGGAGTCATCTCAGAGGATTTTGAGCCGAGGAATTACATGATCTGACTTAGGTTGTTGTGATGGCTTTAAATTATTATATAAAATATTTAAATGAGTATTAACTATTTAAAAGAGCCTGGCACAGAGCCTGGAACATGGCTTGTGTCTCCTGTCCGAATATTTGCAATAGGGGCATTCGCTGATGTGTGCAAAGGGATAGGTATGTGGGCCTGGGTAGGGAGGCACAGGCCCGGTCGAGTTGCTGGCGCCCTCTCCTGGAGGAGCCTGCTCTAGCTGTGACAGCAGGAAGCCATCAGGCTCTGGCGCGGCCTGTCCCCCAGGGCAGCTGTCTGCAAGGCGCTCATCTGTCCCTCAGAATGGGCCCCACAGTGCCCTGCGGCCTGGCGCTGGGCTAGGTGTGTGCTGCCAGTCTGCCCTGCCTAGCGATCACAAGCCTATGGTGTCATGGAAAGAGATCTGGTCTCTGGAGGCCAAAGAGCCTGGGGCCTGGTCCTCCTCTGCCACAGATATGCTGTGTGACCTTGGCAGTTCACCCCACCTCTCTGGGCTGTGGGGAGCTTCCTCTGAGTAACGATGCATCATGTGCACATGGTAAAAGCTCCGTAAATATTGGTTGAATCAGTGAATGAAGTAGGGGCCATCAGCCTTTCTGATAAATATTTAATTTAGAGGAAAGCAAATAAAAGTGCTCAGTGGATATTCATTCAACAAGTATTTAAATTTATAATGAGCGCCTTCTATGGACCAAGCACTCTTCTGGGCACCAGGGACACAATAGTGAATAAAACCAATAAAAAACTGGCCCTTGGTTAGCTGACACTCTAGGTGTTGAATCAAAGGTCATTGATGTATTTTCACATGTGTCCTGGGCAAGCTTGTGGTGAGAAGGGGACTAGGAAGGGGTGAATGGGTGGAATGCACTGTCCCAAGGGGCAGAGCAGGGGAGGGCAGCCAGAGTGGACAGATAGGGTAGGGAAGTCCCTGCTGAGTCCTCAGTTCCTGGCTTAGGGACATATTTGCCTCCACAATCCTTCCTACTCCATCCCCTCAGGTGGGGTCTGAGTTGGTCTGGAATTGGTCCCTGAGTTCCCCAGGGGGAAACCAGTCAGTCTTCTGTGAGCTCTCTTATTTCTTAATGTTCGGAGTATTGAAGGAGAAGATACCAAGTGTCCCCAGAAACAGGGAGAGGTTTTGCCGTGGAGGTGATGAGGCTTATGTGTACGACCACATGAGACCCAGATCTTCTTTGGTTTATTTTTGTCCAGTCTCTGGGAGTACCACATCCATTTCCCTGAACTAGCTTCTCTGGGTCACTGATCAGCTCCCAAGGAGAGAGACAAAGCCGAGGGCTTAGAACCAGAATTTTTAGTCCCAGGAAGGGTGTGCTCAGAGCATGCTTCCCCACGGTGGGAAACAAGGTGAGTCTGGGCCTCCTCTCTTCCCTGAGGACAGGTAGGTAGTCGTCACAGGACACAGGTGTGTGCTGAGAAAAAAAGGGCTTTCTGACTTTCAGAGCTGTCCCCAGCTAGAAGGGGGCCACCATTGAGGGGGTGAGTTCTCTGACACTGGAGACATTCAAGCACAGCTTGATGACTGCTCATTGAGGCTGGGGAAGGAATTTCTGCATTGTGGGGGTCATTGCCTTTGAGGTCTGACTCTGTGTCTAAGATGCCTACGCTCCCTCCACTTAGGTGACTCGTCTGTACCTAAGCTTTTCTTTGGAGAGTGAGGCTGCCTCTCAGACCTTCCCTGATGGATGTGTCCCCTTGTTCTTTATGAGGTGCACATAACTCGTTCAGGGGGAAGAAGGGGACGCGGGGCTCCAGGAATTACATATACACACACCACCTCTTATCCGCCTGGGCCTAGCCTCCCCCAGGGGTTTCTCTCACAGAGAGGCTAATCCAGGGCCTCTAGCAGGCTCAAGGATGAGCCCCTCACCCATCCCTCCTCCTATATTTCAGTGTGAAGACACTGGAAACGATATTTCTAATTTCACTTGGAGCTCCACAACAGGTTGATTGGGGGTAGTTCTGGGGCCTGAAGGGTTCACCCCATTGGAGCACTGGAGAAAATCAATGATCATGAGTCACCGGTGGCCTAGGGTGAGGACCTGGGTTGTAGCCCCAGATGCTCCCAGGGCAAAGAAAGCCACAGAGAAGGGGTCTTCTTAGAGGGAGGGACTACACAACACAGAGGGGAAGGGGCAACTTGTGGGCAAGGGCTACGTCCAAGGAGGAGAGAAAGTTTCTGGGGAAAAAAAACAGTTAAGAATGTTAGACTAGAGGCCTGAAGGCTGAAACCTCATTAGGTTTATTTCACCTGCAGACTGTGAATTTATCATGTTTGTGATTTCTACCCTCTTGCTGTCTCTAAAGGAGAGTCCTTTATATCTGTGAGGAGTGGCAGGATGGCTGAGACCTTCATGGACCCGTCAAGCTTCCTAAATCATTGATCCACTGGAATTTACTTTTTGGAAGGAGTGAAAAGAGAGGCAGCCTTTACTCCTGCCCCCCCCCCCCATGGCTACCCAATTGCCTCCAAGCCCTATATTGAATAATTAAGGTTTCTCACAGAAACCTTTAACATATCTGTGTGAATGTTTTTTGTGTTTTGTTTTGGTTTTTTAAAGATTTTATTGGGGAATTGGGGGAAGGGGAACAGACAAGCTGCTGTCCTTTTGTTCTTCAGTCTAGTTGTGGAGGACATCGCTTCACTGGCCCATGTTGGTAATGTCATTGTGCTCTTCCTGGGTGAGGGAGTCACTCGCCTGCCATTTCACGGCCGCTCACAGTGGCTCACGGCAGCTCACGCAGACTGCCGGCTGCTCACACTGGCTGCCAGTCACTCATGGTAGCTTACGGCAGCCCACTGCAACTCCACTTCAGCCTATGCGGTCGCTGGCGAGTCATGGCAGCCCAGCTCCAGGTCGAATTGTTGTTCACAGCGTCACTGGCCCTCATGTGGGATCCGAACCTGGGCCCTGCTGCTCAGAGCTGACATCCCAAGCCAACTCTTAACCAACGTGCCACTCAGCCGGCCCCTGTGTGAATGTTTTAATCCATGATTTCCTAATTTTCTTTTCATATGTCCTACATTCTCCTCCCATCTTCCCAAATTCTCCCAAAATTCCCCTTTAGTATTTTGAGATAACATAGCATTGAAATGATAGATTAACAGAGGATGAATGGACATCTTTAGAGGAGTATTGGGTCTTCTTCTCCAAGAACAAGATAAGAGCTTTCCACTTTCCTTAACATTGTTATTCTTCCTAAATTGGCCCTTGTGTCTAAAAGGTACTTAGGTAGGTTTAATGGAAAGAGGCTGAAATGGGAAAGCCCTACTTCAGAGCCAGTCTGTAGGGTGCGGTGGTGACCTTCAAAAAGAGCATCAGGTGGAGCCAGCCAGGTGGCTCAGTTGGTTAAGAGCTCGCTCAAGAGTTTGAGCTCTGAGCAACTAGTGGTTCGAGTCCCGGCCCAAGCTGAGCTGCCGCTGAGCTGCCAACAGGTGGCAGGATGGCTCAGCTTAAAAAAAAAAAAAACAAGAACAGCAGGTGGTGTCCCCAGGCCCTGATGACCCAAAGGGGAGTAGGAGGTCCAAGGGGAACAGTCCCAGAATCGGGGCCTGACAGGAGGTATTTGTAGTTCCCCTACAAAAGCCCCATCTGGCCTCCTTCCCCGTACGCTACACACATACCACAAGGCTGGGAGGCTCTAGGAACCGAAAGGGTGACAGGCCCTGGGGGATAGTATGGCTGGGCAGGAGGGCAGCACACTGTCCCTCACAAGGAACAGTTCCACAGGGCCCTGGGCGACCGCAGAGGAGAGCTGGCAGTCAAGACAGCAGGGAACATGCTAGACTTGTGCTTATCTTTTATTGTTTCTGTCCAGAGCCCCTGCAGTGGGGGAGGGGCAGGCACGGGGAGGTGGGCATCCCTGCCACCTGCCTGAGACCGCTCTCTGCCTCTCTCCTCTCCTTTCCTCTCAGCATCTCACCTACCCTCTCTCCTTCTGAATATCCTGCTCCCACATCTGGCACCTTCGGGGGTTCGCTCTTGTAGCCCCTGCTTGCTAAGCCCACCCTGGGAATATAGGGGACCATGGGGTCAGCTTAGTGCCCCCCAGCAGTCTCCACAGGGGCTAGTCCCCCAGTTACCTCGCCAGCTTACAGAGGACGAAGCCCTTTCTCTCTCTGACCCAGGCTGGGGTCCACAGGGCTCAATCCTGACCATGTGGGTCCCAACATCCTACTGGGGTAGGGGGCGCGGGCCCTCTCCAAAACCAGAGGCTTGAGCCTGAGGTTACGGAGGTGGGAGGGGCAGGGTCACGACTCTGCCTTGGCTCCATCTAGGTCTACCCAGCACACCTCAGGGGCAGCCAAGAGCCAGGCTCACTCAATTCCAACATCCAGGACTCACACTGCTGGGGGCTCCCTGTGCTGGGCAGGGATGGACCATGTCCCCTGTGGGGACCATAAGGGGTAGTTGGTGAGCAGGGGTCAGAGGCTGTGAGGGGAGCACAGTGTCTGGGTGTGGTGCCCTTGGATGGAAGGAGGATGGCTTCAGGAGACAGTGAGGACAGGGGCAAGGACGGTCTCTGGTGGCAAAGGGGTCTCTGGCTTTAGAGCACCTCGTGTTGCTGCTGTGTGGCCTCACTGACGACCTGGGAAGGAAGAGAAACTCAGTCCAATCCAGCGTGGGCAGGATTACAGAGCCACAGCCGGCCGCCCCCACCCAAACATAGTAGGACCCCTTCTCCCCGCAGACAGGGGCTCAAACAAGCACAGCTGGTGAAAAGCACCTGACTGACAGCCCTCCAGATATACTCCATGGCCCCCACCAAGAGTAAGAGAACCAGGCAGGCTGCTCACCTCCCCATCTCGGGTCTCAATGGTCTTGATCATCACTGTCTTCTTGGTATGGACCTCGGAACCCCTTTGCTCAGGGCTTGTTTCTATAACAGATCCGTCCACATGCTCAGCCTGACCACGTCCAGGCCCAGGCTGCTGCAGCGGCTGGGAGTCCATCCCTAGTCCCACTGGGCCGAGCCCAGAAGACTCCCACCCCCTCAAGACGGGCCTGGTACTTTTTCAGCAAGACGGCTATCACCTATCCTTGAGCCCAGCACCCAGCAAGTGGCTCTGCAGACCCCATGGCCAGTCCCATGGCTGAGATGGGATCAGAAGCCAACAATGTGCTCCAGGTGTGGGCTGGTTCAGGAGGGCGGGACTCCTGAGACTCAGGCCACCCAGCAGTCCCATCCTTGACACACATCCTTGCTCCCTCTCCATCCCTGGGCTGCAGAACAGCCCTGCATGAATTGTACCCTGACAGTTAGAACCCCAAAGCCCAGTCCTAAGATACTCTTTTGGAGGACTTCATGGTACTTGGCCCCCCCTTTAAGATTCCGGATGAATGACTTGATGTCTTAATGACAGAGAGATGGACAGGAGTCCGTCACTGATTCATTGTTTTGGCAGCCAGTGACTTGCCCCTCTGTGCCTCAGTTTCCTCATTGTGCCCTATCGTGGCCACAGAACTATTAATTTCCAAAAGCATTAAGCAGTTTTAAATGCAAGGCTTACACTTGGTGTCTGTGATGCACATTGTAACTTGGTGGAGCACAGTGTGTATGTGTTCCTGATGGAAATGAACATCGAAGATATAAATGGTTTGGTCTAGGAAAGGCGGAGGTGCCAAGGACTCTGACTTCCTTTCCTAATGTATCATTATAGTGTGTTTTTCTGCTCTCCCGGGTTGGAAAGCCACGCGATCTGCGTACCACGAATGGCAGAATGGCAGAATGCCCTAGGAGCTCCTTCTTCTAATTATTTGGCTTCGCTAAGGTTTGGCTTCATTGTTTTAAACGTGCATCCAACATCTCGCTCCAGCAAACTGGAGGTGTTCAACAAGCCGGTGGGAGGGGTGAGAGTGGGGGAGGGGTGGCACTTGGCAGCTTGCCATAGACAACAGGGGGGAGGTGCCTTGGAGCCCTGTGTGTATGGTTTTAGATGCTCCTGCCGCAGGCCCCCAAGGACAATCCTGGTTCCTTCAGACTTTGGGTGTATTAAGAAACAGAAGCTAATTGCTGATGCTCAATAATCCCAGAAGGTGTAAGGGACATAGTCAATACAATACCGTGAGATTAAAATAAATAAAAATAAAAACGAAATGAAATAAAGTTTCCCCTGCCCCCGCAGCAGCCCCATTTCTTGTCTCCAGACCCCGTCCTGTCCCCACAGTTCCATCCTCCCCTCCTGGATGGTATTGGGCAGTGCCCATGCTGGACTCCTACCCCCTGCCACCCCAGCCTCCACCTGCCAACAGGCACTCACCTCGGAAGTTGTGGGCAGAGAAGGTCTGGATAGGGAGGTTGATCCTGAAAGAGGAGAGACCAAATCCCCATAGGATTAGGACCCTCCATTTCTCCCACTCATCGAAGCTTGCTCTGGACCTCTCTCTAAACACCATCCTCAGCTGTCCTGGTCCCATGGACCCCAGCACTCCCAGTATCACACTGCTTAGGGCATGGGTTCAAAGATCAACTCCGCTGTGCCAGGGACTATCCCTTCTGGAAGGATCACTAAGTCCGTCTATTCCATCTTTAACCTGCTGACATGACACCAGGACCCCCAACCCCACTGTCCTTTCCCTTTCACCAAGATTTCCCTCTCACTCCTGATGCTGCAGGATGTATCCATAGCAGGTCTGGGTGATATCCATTGTGTGTGCCCACCCTCCAGCCAGGCTGGGAACCTCTGACCCACCCACGTGAGGCCAAGTTACAAGAGCTACCATCCCGATTTATGCCTAGTGCTGGGAAAATGCAATGTGCCTTTAGTTATCTTAAAAAGTCATTATATGTAGGTGTTATTATATGAAATCTGAAATCTACGTGTACTTCTATATCTAAATATGTCTGCTGGTTTTTTAAAACTTCAGATACTATCATTTTTGTGAGTATCAATTTTTTTTAACTAATGACCTGTTTTAAACTGAGGTTAAGTTTACATTCAGTGAAATGCACAGATCTTTACTGTGCAATCCAGTGAGTTTTAATCAATGTCTACGAGTCTCAATCAAGATATAGAACCTGCCCTTTCCCCTAGCAGGTTCCCTCATGTCCCTTTCAGTTGTATGTTGTTTTCTGTGTTTAGAGGTGAGTTGACATGTCCGAGCATGTCACTCTGGTTCTTTTCCTACGAGCGCGCGTGTGTGTGTATGTGCACACACGCACACATGCACCCTCAGTGCACAAGTCTCTGCATCCTCTCTCTTAGCCTGCATTCGAGGCTCTCTGTCTCTCCCTCTGTCTCCCTCTGTCTCTATCTGGCCCTTCCCTTTCCTTCCTCATCATTCTCTCATCTCTTTGCTCTCATCTCTCCCTTGACTGGCAGTAATATTTTATTACCAGTTGCTGAACATGGTTTTATGCTGCTGGTTCTTAATTCTGAAGGTAGATGAGGGAATACTTATATTTCTCTTTTTATAAAAGCTGTTAATTAAATCACTTTTTACCCAGGTGGCCTTGATTAATTCTTTGCAATTAGTGGAGCGGTGGACTCTTGTATAAAATTGTTTCCAGATCTTATTGAGGTGATCCAGAGCCCCATCCCCCGGGGCAGCACCCCTCAGCCAGCCCCCTCCTTGCGCCTCACCGGCTCTCCTCGCCCTCTAGCAGCTTCCGATATGTGGCAATTTCTACGTCCAGGGCCATCTTGACGTTGAGCAGGTCTTGATACTCCCGTAGGTGACGGGCCATCTCATCCTTGAGGTGCCGGATCTCCTCCTCTAGGCGAGCAATGTTGTCCTGGTAACCGCTGGCCTCACTAGTAAAGCGGTCCTCCAGCTCCCGCATCTGCCTCATCAGGGAATCATTCTGCAGGGGAGGGGCGACTAGGTCAAGGTCAGGTTGTTGGGGGGGTGGATGGTGAACATTAGGATCCCAAGATGGACAGCGACACAGACATCTGGGGCTGGGAGGCAACGCCAGAGGGTCAGGTCCAGGAATTGTCAAACACTTCTCAGCCAGGGAACCCTGAACTCAAATGAAGTGTTTTGTGGAAACTCAGAAAATAGAACTGATAAAAGGGAGCATCGATGTTCAGCCTTCCCTGCCCCCACATAGGAGCCCCATGATTTCCTGAGAGCCCAACTGGTAATCCACCTGTTTGTTTTTATCCCTGTGGCAGATATGAGGAGACAGACCCAGAGATGGTATGTGATGGGCCCAGGGTTACAGACTGAGGATGTAAGCTACAGGCAGGAAGGGCTGAGCTGGGTGAGGTGGGCAGTGACTCACAGTGCCCTTGAGGGCATCAATCTCGCAGGTGTAGGACTGGATCTGGTGTCGGTACTCCATCATCTCCTGCTTGGCCTGGCGCAGTGCATCATTGTTCTTGTTGGCTGCCTGGGTCAGGTCAGACACCTAAAGGCAGAGAGGGGACCTGAGATGATGCAGGTAGAGGTGGGCAAGGGAGCGTGGAGACCTTGGCTCACCCTCCTCCCCAAGGATGGAGCCACAGAAAGCACCTCCAAACTGGGATTAAGGGGGATGGAGAGGCCAGGCTGCCTACCTTTGACTTGTACCATTCCTCAGCTTCTGAGATATTCTTAGCTGCGATGGTCTCGTACTGGGCCCGGATGTCCCTGAGGGCGGCCGTGAGGTCTGGCTTGGACATGTCTATCTCCACCTGGACCTGCTGTTCCTGAAGCTGGGCCTGTAGCTCTCGGATCTCCTGCATGGTGCAGCTGGGCTTCAGTCCCCTACTAGCCTCCCTCCCCAGCACCCTCCCACCCGCTTCCCAGAGCCAGGCACTACCACTGCCCTCCCCACCCCCACCCCCTACACACACCACCTACTTTCCCCAGCGTCTAAGGACCCTAAGGAGGAGGCCCCAGGGCATACCTCTTCATGCACTTTCTTAAGGAATGCAATTTCCTCGTTGAGAGATTCGATCCTGCGCTCCAGGTCAATGCGAGCTAGAGTGGCTGCATCCACATCCTGGGAGAGGTCAAACAAGAGGGACAGGGTCATCTATCAACCAGGAATGGCAGAGGGAGACCAGGGGCCACACCGGGGGAAAGAAGGATAAGGTTGCTGGGGGTTCAAAGATGGCTCACCGCTCGGAAGGCAGCCAAGTTGTTCTCTGCTTCTTCTTTCAGTTGAATCTCTTCTTGCAGCCTGATAGGGACAGACAGACAGAATAACAGACAGTTGGCGGGGATAAAACTGGCCTTGGAGATGACTGGCCTTGGGCTGCCCAGGGAGTGGGCTCAGGACAGAGAGAGGAAGGCTGGCTGCTGGGTGGAGACAAGAGGCCCCGCCCACCCTGAGAGTGGACAGGAAGTGGCCCAATCTCTGCACTAGAGCCACACCCTGGAAGTTTATGTCCCCATCAGATTGTGACCTCCCTGGGATTAGGAACAGTGTCTATTTTATCCACTTCTGTGTGCCTGGCCTATGTAGGTGCTCAAATGATGTTTGTGACCTGAGTGGCAGGGTGGTGACTGCTCACTGGGATCTCAGAAGCAGGACCCATGAATACTTGCTGCCCTTTCATACCGGGAGCCTGGTGAAGCCCACCATCTGGTCCTCCAAGTTTTCTGAGGGCTGCAGTCCACCACCCACTCTCCCATTTCGTCTAACTTATCCATTCCCTTATGAAATGGCACCGCCTCAGCCAGTCCCAGAGGCAGACATCCCCTCTCTAAACCGCTCCCCAAAGCCTCGTCACAGATGAGCTGAGAGCGACTGCTTGGATTCCCCACCCCTTGCCCTTCCCAGCTGGCCCCAGGTTTCCTGGTCTCCTGTCAACCTCCCCCTTTCCCTCTGGCTGCACTTGGGCCTCTCTCCTCCACCCATCTGCCTGCCTGATCCCCATCAACATCACCCCAGCATCTTAAGATGCTTTTTCAGGGGGCCGTCTCCAGGGCACCTGGTCTTCCAAGGTCTCCCATTTGCACCCCATGATGTCCCCCCCCCAAAAAAAATTCCTTTGCAGAGCAGGAGCACAAGGGAGAGACCTGGAATCTATCTCCCCTTGGGGGACACAAGTAAATGGCCTTCTCCCTGCATGGGGCAGGAAAGGGTCCCTGGAGCCCAGCACGTGGAAAAGGGCTTCTGGGAGCACCCGGTGCTCACTTGGCCTTGAGCCGCTGCAGGTCGTCCAGCAGGTTGTCGCGCTCGACGTCGACGCGGGCGCGCTGGTTGGTGAGCACCTCCACCTGGCGCCGCAGTTCGCGCAGCTCCTCCTCGTAGATCTCAGCGACCCGGGTCGGCTCGCGGGCCTTGAGCCGGTTCACCTCCGCGGCGAGCACCGCGTTCTGCTGCTCCAGGAAGCGCACTTTCTCGATGTAGTTGGCGAAGCGGTCGTTGAGCTCCTGCAGCTCCACCTTCTCGTTGGTGCGCGTGGTCAGGAATTCCTGGTTCACCGCGTCTGCCAGCGAGAAGTCCAGCAGCTCGCCCGCACCGTAGGAGGAGGGCCCGCGGGCTGTCCCCAGCCGGCTGGCCCGCAGCGACCCCAGGCCCCCTGCCCCGCCCGACGTGCGCGACACCTGGTACACGCGGGACGTCATCGAGCTCGAGGAGCCCTTGGTGCCATAGCCCGCGCGCGAGAACACCGGCGAGCTCAGAGGGGAGCTGAGCGGGAAGGCCGGGGCCCCGCCGAAGGTGCGGCGGTAGGAGGACATGCGCTGGCTGGACGAGTAGGCCTGGCTCATGGTGGCGGCGCGGGCGAGGCTGGGCGGCGAGGAGGAGGCGGCGGGCGGGCGGCCGGCCGGAGAGTGGATGCGGCGAGGGGAGACGGGGCCCCCGGCCGTCGGCACTATTTGTATCCCTCCTGACATCAGCCCCCGCCGCCCCTCCCCTGACAGCTGCAGGATCCCGCTGTCCTGCCAGGAAAGGGCGGCCGCTGGCGTGGGGGCGGGGAGGCCAGCTACCCCGCATGAGGCCTTCGCTCCCAGCCGGCGGGTGGGGGGCCGTTGAGGGGTGTAGGACAGGCTGGTGGACCTAGGAGGGCTCCAGGCAGGCCTGCCTGTCAGCCGCTTCGCCAGGGCTGCAAGCGTATTTGGAACCCCCAGACAGGCCCCTTTCAGCCCTTGGGTGCCTGCCTCCTTCTAGGGGTGATCAGGAGAGAGAGTCCTGGAGAGGCTTCCACTTAGTTTGAGGGTCTCCTTTTTGCTCCAACATGAGACTTTGAGTCATTTACTGAAGGGACAAGGCCTGTTCCCAAGAAAGGCTCCAAGTCACCATTTTTCTAAAGATTCTCTAGAAGTGGCAGAGGTTTGGGAGGGCTCAGGTAGAGACCAGGAGGCCATCAGCCGGGCCTAGAGGAGGGGAGTCTCTAGGCAGGCCCAAGGGTGGGAGGGTGCCCTCAGGGCAGAGAGAAATCCTGGCCAGAGCTGGCCTGCTCAGGTTACGTGCATTGGAACCTGAGTTCTACCTCTGAGCCTCAGTTTCCCTCTGGACTAGTATAGGCCCTTTTCCTTCCTCCCCCGCCCCCACTGGTGAAGGTGGGGCCTCAAGTTTATAAACAACAGGGTGATTTCCAGAAAGGGTCTGGTGCACTTTCAGTTTCCAATCACTATGTACTCTCTCACCCCCGCAGCACCAGCTTCGCCCGGCTTCTGTCCCCTTGTGCCCACCCCACCCCCTCTCTGATTCATCCCCCTACTCACACCACCACCCACCACCACGCACACCAGGGGTTTGTGTTTTGTCAGGAGCCCCACGTCAACCCAGCCATCTCTCTGGCAGCAACAGCTGCCAACCCAAAATACCAGAGCTGGTATTTATAGAGGAGAATGCATGGGTCCGGGAAACAAGTGCACGGGCAAGGAGCTCTGAGGGGTGGGGGCCGGGTACCTGAGGGGGCATGGGTGTCAGATGGCTGAGGAAGGCTTGGGGTGGTAAGCCCCACACACTTCCTACCCCCATAATGCTCCAAGCCCCCAGCATAAATGGAGCCCGTCAGAGGGCTTGCCCATCCCTTCACAGCCTATCCTTCTTCGTACAAGGTACTCGCTGTCCCCAAAAGACATCCCCACTTCTCCATGAACACTGGCTGTCTCTCTATACCTCCACCTGGCACTCCACAGGCCTCTCTGAGGCCTGACCCTTTTGGAATGCAAACCTTGGAAACACAGCGCTGGTCTTCCCCTAGCTCTGCCATCACCAGCAGGACTAATGACTAGCAAACAAGTCCTTTATTTCTGTGTCCTCATTATAAAGTGGGAATGTTAGCCTTGCCATGTCTATCCTATAGGCGGTTGAAGGGGCTCAGGTCACAATATGCAAAAATAATACCTTACATGTATTGAACACCTACTGTATACCTCTCTGCTGAACACTCCACACCCATGATCCCTAATTCTCCAACAATCCTATGAGGTGGGAACTAGTATTGTTCCCATTTTGTAGCTCAGGACGCTGAGGCAGTCTGACATCAGAGCCCATGCTTTGCCTCCGGGGTGGGTGTGAGTGTGCCAGGTGACCTGTAAAGGGCTTTGCTACTGCTGTCTTTTCAAAGCCCTTTCACATTAAGTGTCTTTCACCCAAGAGACAAGCTTAAGGGGTGGGTAGGGAGTTCCAGATATTCTTAGCCAGTCTTTGAGTCACCGCAAGCTGTTGCATTCTGGTTATTTTTGTGTCTCATCTCCCAAACTAGATTCTAGGCTCCTGGAGAATTCTGGAGACCATGTGGATTCTTAGCACACCCCAGGTAGCACTGTCCTTGTTGCAGTTTAAAGTAGCCTGAAAGTTTTCCTTCCCCTCCCCTTATTTTGGTAACAAATGTTACTCACACTACACACACACACACACACACACACACACACACACCAGAAGTAGACAGGTAATTTGACTCCCAGCCAGTCTTAGAACTGCATTCCTCTCACTGCAGTGATTGGCTCAAAGGGTGGGTCTGGACCTGAGCAGGGCCAATTAGAGAGCTTCCCTGGAATTTATAGATGGAATTGGGATTACTAAACTGGAAGCTGTGGCAACCATGTTTCTTGCCCTCTGGGGAGGTCTTTCTGGAATAGGAGGAAAGAGAGGTCAACAAGCAAAGGAGAGGCAGAGACACCTGGACAGGAGGAGAATGCCAGGCAGGCAACGTAAATTCCAGCCCCTGGGGTCCTGGTTCTGTGCTGTTTCCTCAATTTTGTGAGCTCCCTCAGTGCCCTTCCTGGCTTCGGGGCCAATACACCTTTTCTTTTTTTCCCTTAAGGCACTTGGTGTTGGCTCTGTGACTTGTAGTCAAATCAAAACAATGTTTTTCTAATCTACTGTAGGAGACTATGCACCCATTTGCATGATGCTGGAGAGGACAGAACGTTTTTGGGACTCCTCTCTGTCAATAGCCTCCAGATCACATAAGAAAATTGTCCTTTGGACCAGCCTGAGGCCTCAGTTTCTTGGTGAAATGAGACAGAAGATAAATAAATAATGCCATCTATTCTCTAGTCAAAATCAACATCTACCAGACTTGGCTCTGAACCACTTGAGGCTGTTTCCAAAATTCAGTTTCACCCCTGAGGATTTGCTACCATGGAGGGCAGCAAAACAACATTCCGAGGCTTGGAAGGCAGGTGAAAGAGGAGCACTCCAAGACATGTTCTGTTTCAGCAGCAGCACCGCTGGAGTAAGGGTTTCGCCTCCTCAGGGGGCCACTTAGAACTGGACACACTAAAACTAATAATAATTTATCTGGATGGGTAATGTGCTCCGCACACAATTCAAGAGTTCCCATTCTGTGGGTTGCCCTTTCATGCTGTTGATAGTATCCTTTGATGAACAAAAGTTTTTAATTTTGATGAAGTCCAATTTATCTATTTTGTCTTTTATTGCCTGTCCTTTTGTTGTCATATCCAAGAAATCATTGTTAAATCTAATGTCACAAACTTTACCCCTGTGTTTTCTTCTAAGTGTTTTACAGTTTTATGTCTTTGATCCATTTTGAGCTAATTTTTGTATGTGGTGTAAAGGTAATGGTCCAATTTCATTTTTTTGCATGTGAATATCCAGTTTTCCTAGCACCATTTGTTGAAAAGACTGTCCTTTCCCCATTGAATGTCTTGGCACCCCTGTTGAAAACCATTAAGCCGTGTGCATGAGGATTTATTTCAGGGCTCTCTATTCTATTCCACTGGCGTATATATATATATATATATCTCCTTATGCCTGTACCATACTGTTTTGATTGCTGTAGCTTTCTAATAAGTTTTGAAATCAAGAAGTGTGAATCCTTCAACTTTGTTCTTTTTTAAGGTGTTTTGGCTATTCAGGGTTGCTTGAAATTTCATATGAATTTTAAAATGGAAATTTCTGTTTCTTCAAAAACATTGGTGAGGGGGTAGCTGGTTAGCTCAGTCGGTTAAAGTGTGGTGCTGATAACACCAAGATTGCCAGTTCTATCCCTGCATGGGCCACTGTGAGCTGTGCTGTCCTTAAAAACAAACAAACAAAACCAAACATTGGTGGGATTTTAACAGGGATTGCATTGAATCTATAGCTCACTTTAGGTAGTATTCACATCTTAACAATATTAAATCTTCCCATCAATAAACATGGGATATTTACCATTTATTTCTGTCTATTTCAGCAATATTTTGTAGTTTTCCATGTACAAGCCTATGCCTCCTTGGTTATGTTTATTCCAAAGTATTTTATTTTGTTAGAGATTTTTATCAAAATATAGGTAACATATAATATTATATTAGTTTCAGGGGTACACCATAGTTATTCAACATTTGTATAACTAAAGAAGTGATCACCATGATAAGTCCAGCAATCACCTGACACCATACCACACTATCACAATATTATTGACTATATTCCCCATGCTGTACCTTACATCCCCATGACTTTTATTTGTTTTATACCTGGATATATGGACCTCTTATTGCCCTTTACCTTTTCCCCCACCCTTTTTAAAATTTTTCAGCTATAGTTGAAATTCACTATTATTTTATATTATTTTCAGATATACAGCATAGTGGTTAGACATTTATATAATTTAAGAAGTGCTCCCCCAACTAGTCTCATACTACCCACCTGGCACTATACATCGTTATAACCATATTATTAACTATATTACCTATGTTTTACTTTATAGCCCTATGACTATTTTGTAACTACCAATTTGTACTCCTTAATCCTTCACTGTTTCACCCTGCCCCCCAACCCCCCTCCCATCTATCACCCCAGTAAATCTAGTACCCATCTAACACCACACATAGTAATTACAATATTATGGACTATGCTATACCCTACGTCCTCATGAGTACTTTGTAACAGCCAATTTGTACTTAATTCCTTCCCCTTTTTCACTCATTCCCCCCAATCCCTCTCCCATCTGGCAATGTTCTCTGTATCTATGAGTTTGTTTCTGTTTTATTTGTTTATTTTGTTCTTTAGATTTCACGTATAAGCAAAATCACGTTACATCTGTCTGTCTCCTAACATACTGCACTCAGAACAATTTCCTCCAGGTCCATCCATTCCACCACAGATGGCAAGAACCCATTCCCTTCCATGGCTGAGCAATATTCTATTGTATTGTATATGCACCACCTCCTCTTTATCCATTCATCCACTGATGGACACCCAGGCTGCCTCCACATCTTGGCCATTGTAAACAATGTTGCCATGAACATATAGATGCACATGATCCCCTCGAAACAGCATTTTGGGTTTCTTTGGATAAATACCCAGAAGTAGGATTACTGGGTCCTTCTTTGCCTTTGTTTTAAAGTCTATTTTGTCTGGTATAAGTATTGCTACTCAAGCTTTGTGGGGTTTTTTTCATTTCCATTTTCATGA